CCCTGCACAACTGTAAAGTAAAATTAAGTAAAATTATTGATAAAGTGATTGATATTACAGGAAGAAACGTTTCTGGGGGGGGGGCATATATTTGTAATAAATTGTTAATGTGTAAGTTTTAGGATTTCAATAATTAAACATACTCTTGATTAATACAGATTAATCATTAAAACAGAAAGGGGAAAACAACAATCCAGAAAAATGTAACGGAAGTTCCAACATCTAAGAGTATGATGAATAACAACAGTGTGTATTGTTTATAGATTAAACATTTATATATATTTAATTTAGCACCAAATATGGTGCATAAACTGTAATGACAGAAGGTCACACATTTGAGCTTCCATGTTTATTAATTTATTATTAATCAATTAAATAGAATACAATATTTAATAAAATACAATATTTAAAACATTTAAAATGTAGTCAGAGTGAAAGCATGTTTCTAATATAATACTTTTTATAGGAATATTTTTGTCATAATATTATTAAATATTTCAAATATTATGAAATATGAGTTAAAACTATAAACTATAGTTTTGTAAAACATTTACAGAATTATTTCCCCTGAAAAAATTCCTTGAGGTCATTTTATTCATTCATTCAAAATCCAATATTGGTTATGATCTGGATGAATCTGTCAGTTTGTGTTGTTCAAAACTTTTTAGTAAGATTGGGATAACTTTGATCCATACAAAAAAAAAAAAAAAAAACGGAATATGATCCCAGCTGAAGGGCGAATTTAAGGAACAAAATTTAATATGAAACGTATATATATATTAAGCTCTCTGAACAATTGGCCCAAGGGATTTCTACACAACATACTGTAAATTAAGTTTATGATACTGTAAAAAAATCCAGAATATGCAGTAATTTACTGTGAAACAGCTACATTTACCAAATTAAATTAATTAATTTTACTCAACTATTAACGAAAGTTCATTGCACTTATAAGAAAATTGTTGTGTGAACAGAGAATAAATGTTAAAATGTTTCTTTGTTTGTGTATTTGTATTTATTTATTTATTGTTTGTTTGTTTGTTTTGATTATGAGGGAGATCTGTTAGTGTTTAATGCTCTGTTATGTTGGGATTTAATAGAGTTTCTGTTGAGTTTTGTGGCTTACAGTTGTGCTGTGTGGAATAAAGTCTGTGTTTAGGTTGAGGACGGACTAAAACATGTTGATTTTCTGCTGCATGTTGCTTTAATTAAAAGTCAGTAAGTGTGTATTTGCTGATGCAGTGATGTTCATGCATGTGTGCTATTGCTAATGGTTGGATTATTTCACTTTATTCAGTTCCAGATACACAAAGTATTTGAGCAGTGTTTAGTTTAATTTTATATTAAGAAATATTATTTGTTTAGTGAACTAAAATGGAAAATGTTCACAGTAATAATGTGATGTAAATATTAATGTAAATATTAGTTTTGGAACTTAAACTTAAATGGTTTAAAGCAATTTACAGTGTTAGAGGTTTTTTTATGGACAAACAAACAAATAAATAAATAAGAGTGACCAATAAAGTGCATTCAACACTGCATCACTGTACACTGACAGATGAACCGCAGCCGACTCTGACTGTAAAACCCCAGAGTTCAGTGTTCACTGGAGACACAGTTACTCTGAGCTGTGATGTGGGACAGTTAACTGGATGGACAATTCACTGGATTAAAGACTCAAACCCTGAATCCACGGGTGATGCAACTAAAACAATCAAGTCTGTGAGCGTCTCTGAGGAAGCTGTAGGGAGAGGGTGCCATTTTATTTTGTACTCATGTCTATCCCTGTTTTTGGTTAGTGAGGGAGTTGAGGAAAGCTTATGTTGTTGATTTCTTTTCTTTTACTCAAATAGGTTAATTAGTACTCCTCCTGTTAGTCAGCTGCTATTTTGGTTGTGGTTTTAGCCGGGCTCTCTCCTGAAGACCTTTATTGCTTCCATAATTCTGGCTTTCCTAAATAAATTAAGTTTGCCAAACTAGGTGGTTTTTGCATTTTATGGACAAATAAATGAATGAATGAATGAATAAATAAGAGTGACCAATAAAGTGAACTCAACACTGCATCACTGTACACTCACAGATAAACCGCAGCCGACTCTGACTGTAAAACCCCAGAGTTCAGTGTTCACTGGAGACACAGTTACTCTGAGCTGTGATGTGGGACAGTTAACTGGATGGACAATTCACTGGATTAAAGACTCAAACCCTGAATCCACGGGTGATGCAACTAAAACAATCAAGTCTGTGAGCGTCTCTGATGAAGGAGAGTACAAGTGTATAGCAGAACGAGGAAACTACTACAGCGAGTACAGTAATGCAGTTACGATAACAGTAAAAGGTCAGCGCTCTCTTACTTTCTATACATTTTTTAATGGAAGACAACTTTGTGTTTGTTAGAAAACATGATAAGTACTGTCATACATTAACAATGTCAGTTAAACTAAATATCAAATAAAATAATAATAATAATAATAATAATAATAATAATAATAATAATTTAGGTATCACAAATCATCTGAAATATGTTCAGACATGTGAAGTGTGTTGTTTGCTCATCACACAGAGAGACCCAAACCTGTAGTTGATGTTCATCCTGATGGACGTGTGTTCAGAGGAGAGACGGTCACTCTCACATGTGACACACAGCAGACAGGAGTCTGGCAGTACATCTGGTATAAAGACAGAAAACAAGATTACATCATAGGACGAGACCAGAACTATAAAATCCAATTTGTGGATTCATTTCATAGTGGTGTGTACAGCTGTAGAGGAACTCAGTCACAAGCACCAACATACTCACAGATGAGTGACGGAGTTACACTGACAGTATCAGGTGAGAGCTTCAGTCTCAACATTGAGTCTAAATGTGCAGAATATTTTTTTCAAATAGACTACAGTATTACAAACATGCAGACAGAGAAACGTAAAAAGTGAGTCTGTGAGCGTCTCTGATGGAGGAGAGTACAAGTGCACAGCACAGCGAGAAAACTACTACAGCGAGTACAGTAATAAAGCTACGATAACAGTAAAAGGTCAGCGCTCTCTTACTTTCTATACTAAATTAATGGAAGACAACTTGATGTGTTTGTTAGAAAACATGACATTAACAATGTCATACATTAACAATGTGTTGTCAGTTAAACTAAATATATAATAATAATAATAATAATAATAATTTAGGCTGCACAGATCATCTGAAATATTTTCAGACATGTGAAGTGTGTTTTTTGCTCATTTCACAGAGAGACCCAAACCTGTAGTTGATGTTCATCCTGATGGACGTGTGTTCAGAGGAGAGACGGTCACTCTCACATGTGACACACAGCAGACAGGAGTCTGGCAGTACATCTGGTATAAAGACAGAAAACTAGTTTATAGCTCAAGACAAAACCAGAACTATAAAATCCCATCTGTGGATTTTATAGCCCAAGACAAAACCAGAACTATATAATCCCATCTGTGGATTCATCTCATAGTGGTGTGTACAGCTGTACAGGAACTCAGTCACAAGCACCAACATACTCACAGATGAGTGACGGAGTTACACTGACAGTATCAGGTGAGTCTGTTCATTTTTCCTTACATCATTTCAAAAAACAAACAGATTGAGTAGATAAGCAGGTAAATTTGATCTTAGTTTGACTCACCTATCATGCTCACAGTCAGATTATGTTATTATGATCTAGTTGAGAGTTTGTAACAGATATTGGACCAATCAGCTGTGAGTGCAGTGATGACGACAGAGAATTGCAGCTTTTATTCAAAATAGAAAACTTTTCTAACAATACAAGTCTTTACTATCACTTTTAATCAATTGAACACATCCTTGCTGAATAAAGGTGTTAATTTATAAAATAAAAATAAAAATCTTACTGATCCCAAACTTCTGAACAGCAGTGTATTTTTGTAGCTCAAATCTTTTCTTACACTGCTCTGTATGAGCCACATCTGTCTGTTTTTATAAGAGGACTGAATCAATTCACTTTTAGTCATTATTCTGTTCAGATGCAGAATTGTGTCCGATGTTTCTTTACAGGACAGATGCTGTGCAGTGATCAGTGATTGTTTTAGAGAGCTGAATGCAGTTATTATTACACATAGATCATGTACTCAGCCTCATGTGCTTCAAAACCCAGAAGACTTTGGCTAATTTTTGAAACAAATTAAGAAACCTAAATAAAACCTGAAAGGTTTCTGTTCCTCCATTAAACGTCCAGGAAACCAAAACTTAGAAGATCCAGAAAAGCATGTGAATATGTGAATAAAAGCCTAAATTACAATCTGTGTATCATATAAAGTGATCGTATCTCTTCTCAAGACTTGGATTAAACTGCTAGATTCATATGGATTTGTTTTATAACACCTTTATGACATTTTGTCATATGATTGTCACTCTGCACTGCAAACTCACGTCTTGTGTGTTCTGTGTTTTGAGTCAAATGTTGTGAGACAGTCAGTGTGATAAACTCTGATCACAGTGACTGGAGATATGAGTGGTATAAAGGCAGAGACAGTGGAGACAGTGTA